CATAATTCCTATAGGACTGTTTATTTTAAAACACTTGAGGATGAGGATGTGCAATAAAATATTGTACAAGTTTGTATTATTATGCGAACGAAAGGTGACGGAAGGAATTAGAAATCTATTCTTTGAATTAGTCTAAGTACATTTATTATCAAGTGGCTCTCCCGAGCTCCAGAGATTTCTTCGCCATGGCGATGGCACCTTCCTTGGTCGAATGGCCACCGATGAATCGTATCGAGTGGACGAATTGGGCTCCTTCGATCCCAGAAGCGTTCTCCAGCTGCTCGTCCCGCAGACCAGCCCAAGGCTCCGGCATGAACAATCTAAAAAATAATTGAAATCGTTTTAACTCAAAAATCGCTTATACTAAAAATCGTAAATACCTGCAAACGAAACTGCCAGGCTCCACAGGAATGCATCTGACCCTGTAATTATCGTCCTTCCAAATCACGTATTTTAATAAAGGCTGTATGTTCTGTTCCTTCTCGATGGCGAAAACGTGCTCGGCCCAAGGCACGCCGCGTGACAATTCTATGATCTCTCCGCTAGGGTCAGTCTGTAATAAACGTTAAAACCTGTTCACGAAAGAAGCATAATGTCACAGTAGATTTTTATGTAGACTGTCAATAGCCGCTTGCACGCTGTTCAGAAAGAAATAGAATAGGTAGGTATGTCATTCTATTCAAATGGATGCTAATGTCACCTCGAAGATGAACAATTCATATTCAGGGTTTATCTCCGGTGAAAATATTTTAATTGACGCAGTAATGTTAGATGAGATTTGAAGAAAGGGAAAGGAATTGTTATACATTTTATTGTTAAGAAATAAGGTAATTTTGTGGTTCTTTTTCACCTCGAACCGTTTTGTAATGGCGTCCTCGACGATCACGCGTGCTGGTAGCCAAACATCCGCTGCATACTTCACGTGTTCTATGAATTCCTCACCAGTGAGCTCTACAGCTTTCAGAAATTGTTTATGAACGTCGATACCCTCACTGTTCCATGGAGGATTCAAAAAACTCACGCGCGCAGATAAACAAGTGACGATTCGATATCTGGGAGATAGAAAAATTCGTTTATAAGCAAACTATAGTCTGTTTCGATTTAACCTTTTGTACTCGAGCGGCGCCGCTACTGCACGAAAACTAATTGCAAAACTGTAATATTTAACAGATTTTGTTG